ATAATGGGAGGTTGTAGTCCATCAGAATATGGAGCCACAGGCCCCCCACCTGTGCATTAAATCATTATGTTTCTGTATTCACTCATATCTGTGCAGGGCTAAAAAGAATACTTCTAACTATACCCCATTTTTAAACTGCCTGGATAAATTGCAGCTGTGGTGAGGAACGTCAAATCTGATAACATGCCTTGTCCTCATTTATTTCTTAAATTTACATCCTGCCTTTGCATGAGAATGTGCCCACAATAAAATAAATACTAATGGACAACTCCAAAATTATGAAATATATCACAATATATTATGGAGCATTTTAAACAGGAGTTTGCTTCCATGTGGAAACTGGCAATACTAGTTAGCAAGGACTTGAGAAGTTGGATACCCTGGAATATGTACTGAGGCCAAGGAGTCACTGAACTATTATCGCACATGGACAAAAGCCACTCAGTTCAAAAAGGTGAGGGCAAATCCCATGAATCATCAGGGTGGAGCTGAGGTTGTGGTAACATGGGTATTATTTCTAACCAGGCTCCTTCTATGACCATATAAAAAAAATTTAATTATACAATTATAAAACTTGCAGGGAATGAGTTAAATTAAATTAAAATATTTAATCACATGGTTATAAAAGCCTGCAGGCTACAGACAGGAACTACCTATTATTGAAATTGTCTGAAGAGGTCTATTTTTTCCTTTTAAAGTATTCTCTTGCACACAAACCATCCCTTTCCACATAGAAGGCCTTTCCTTCCTTGTTGCCAGCTTTCTCTTACAAGAAAACCGGAGGCAATGAGTTGAGTAGCTGTAGGCTCAGGCATGGCAAGTTTTATAATGCCCGCTTTCTTTCTCTTAAACAACGTGACTACTAAGAACCCTTTTTACCTTCTGGCCAATTATGAAGTCACAACCACCTCCTATTCTGCAACCCATTTTGCACCCCAACTTTCATCCTCAACCCCATGTTCCTGGGGCATGCACACGCGTGCACGCGCGCACACACACACACACACTTTGTAAGATTTTTTTTGGGGGGGGGAAGTTCGTTGGAAAAATATTACTGCTTTGACACTAATTTTCATTTCAAAGACTCACATTAGTTGAGAGGCATGTACAAACTCACTCAACCCAGCATGCACCATATAGTGACAATGAATCGTGGTGATCAAGAAAACTCCAAAACCTAACTCCAAAACTTCATGACAAACAGTATGTCTCCTTCATAGTAGGGGCATTCCCTCTTTTGTTTGGTTACTTCAAGGAGATTCTTTCCTGTTTTTAAATGAGAGAGGTCTGTTACCCATATGAGGGGGTTGCTTTTTCTACTAAATGAATTCTTTCTTTGTTGCCTCATGTTACAACTCTGAAATACACTTGCTGTGTTGGAAAAAAGGTAACAGGGAAAATCTAATGAAAGCTTGAATTACATGTTACTTTACATTTTACTCACTGTGTACATCAAACAGATGAAGAGATCCAAATCTCAGTAGCATTTACTCTGTGCAATGAATACTTTGGGTTAGGCCTTTGTCACAAATTTTAAAATGGTGCACCAGTTTTAAGAGTGTGCAATCAAGGGTAGCTATTTTATTGTAAATTATAATTGCTGAAGGATTAATTAAGCAGGTCCTGACTTCACCCTGTTGTATAACCTGCAGCCACATATTTTAGTCGATACATTCCTCCAAATATAAGATGATAAATAATGACCTCAAACAACCCTCTTTATTTGTCTATATGTTCAACTTTTAATTGCATATGGTATTTTCTTTTAGAAATACGTGTATTGCCCTGTTTAAATACTTAAGGCATATGCAGGTGCTAATCTACTCACAGGAAGCAAACAAAAGAGAATGCTGGAGGGAACTTGAAGTGGTGTATATCCAAAAATGGAAGTGAGATGCTGTAGAAGAAGACGACGAAGAAGATATTCACAAGTCCAAAACATTTCATTCACTTTCTAAGCTTGGCACAGAAGTTTAGAACTATTTGTGTTCAGTCTAGGAATCACAGAACCATAGAATTGTACAGCTGGAAGGGACCCCAAAGGGTCATCTACTCCAACCCCATAAATGCAGGAATCTTAACTAAAAGTACATGTTGTTTCTGGCATCTGTCTATCTCGAGTACACTGGAGTACACCTCCAGGGGTGAAGTCACATTGCTGCATTAGGAGCACTGAAGTGACCTCCCTGAGGTGCAAGCCTGAGCAGTGTGTATGGAGACCCACCCCCTCTCAGCCACCCTGATGCGGTTCATATGAAAGCAGAGCAATACATTTGGCACCAGCTTAGTTGCAGAAACTGCCTGAAAGAGGCATACATGGCACCATCCAACTGTCTTAGGGATTCCACTCTGGATTTGTGTAGGGTGACCCTTTAGCCTTTTCTTCTCCTGAAAGAAAAGGTTTAGATCCTGAGGTTTAGGATCAGAGTTTTCCTTCTCCTGGGTGGGCTACCTTCCCAGGTCGATGAGTCCCATCTGCCCCTCATTTTCTTCCACAGCATGTGCAAAAACTGCCATCTTGACTTTTGGATCCACTATTGGTCTCATCTGCTCAATCTGTCACAGCCTATCTTCACATGCAGGGGAAGTCCCTAACTCAGTGAGTGTTTGAGACCCATCAGCACACAGTGCATTCATTGTGGGGCTTGGCTGATTTCCACTTCTGAAATGTTCCATAAGACAAGGAAAAGTCAAATGCTGGATTTCTACCTATACATATACAACCCAATCTAAAACTGCAGCAATTTTAAAATGGAAAACGAAGTGAAAACAAACAAAACATGTTATGAGTGGATTACCTCCATCACCTAAGGTCCCCACTCTAGACCATTTCCTGCATCCTCCTAGTTACTTTGGAGGACCTTTATCTTACGCATACCATGCTTATTACTTTCTCTGTGAAACAGCCAAGCACAAATGTGTACCCTTCCCTGCTGCAAAAAGATGGCATTATGTAAGTGCTAACTACTCTATTGTGAGGTCATGACATAGCCCACGAGAACCTCTTCATTTCTCCAACACAGTTAGTTCATTCACAAAGGCTTCCAGCTGTGTTAGCTAAAGTCTAATCAGAAACCAAGAGGGAGCCCAATCAAGCCAGAAATACCTTTCCTTCTACACTGGATTCAGTGTGAAGGTGACAAGCCCAGAACAGGCCATCCGCTGTTGCCTGGTTCATGACTCCCAAAGAGGGGTGAAGCAAGGAAGGAAGGAAGCTAAGGAGAGAAAGGCTTGAATATAATCCAAGTTTTGACAGGACCTTCTCAGTTCCTGGGAGAGAAAATGGAGAACAGGGGAGAGTGGGTGTTCTCATTTTCTGGAGGGAAGGCAGCTGTTATAGACCTCACAAAACAGTCAGTTTTCTTGCCCATGGAATACACTAATGAAAAGGGGATGGATGGATAACAATTAAAAAGGGAAGTGGAAGCTATGGACTACTGGAGTGGCTTTTTCCTAGTCTTTGGCTGACACCTTCCCTCACCATCTTGTACTAGAACAAGGGTATTCTTTTTATCTAATTATTTTACTATTATTTATTTATACCCCGCCCATCTGGCTGGGTTTCCCCAGCCACTCTGGGCGGCTTCCAACAAAATATTAAAATGCAGTGGTCTGTTAAACATTAAAAGCTTCCCTAAACAGGGCTGCCTTCAGATGTCTTCTAAAAGGGTTTTCAGATTATTACAAAATAGTCCCTTATTCTCCTTCTCTCAATCATATACCCCATTTTAGCTACAGTATAGTTATAGATTTATATGGTGGAAACTGCCCTGTGGTCCTTGGATGAAGGGTGGTATATAAATTCTAATAATAATAATAATAATAATAATAATAATAGATTTATAGGTGCTAAAATGCATATTCTAGATTTGCATTAGTCAATGTTAATCCTATGGAAGTGGCATATGTTAACCTAGAACACCTTCCTAAATGGTGTATCAGCTACCCCGTTTAATCCTAGGCCATCAACACATGTAAAAACTAATTTCCTAATGATCCTTTAGGAAGCCTACCTCCTTCAACTGAGAGTTAGTTCAAAAGACAATACCAGAGTTTTAGAAAAGGTAGGTTGATGGTAATAAGCAGTATGCTGGAGAGAGAGATGTTGATATCTTATGAGAGGGACAGAAACTTCTTGGAATATTGATGCACTGACCTTCTTCCATAAGTAGGCTCAGGTTATAGGGATGTGTAAATAAACCATATAGTGTAAATAAACCACTATAGTATCCATTGTGCCTCATTTCTGAAGGAAACACAAACCCTAGTTAAGTACCAAGACCACTGGAATCTTGTGCACTGCTCAGCAGAGGTTTTTATCTCTGATATTCTCTGATATTCAGTTGTTTAGCATGCTGTACTAATCAGAGGGAGGGAAAGTAGCTATGGGTTGTAGTCTTAGGCCTGAGAAGGGGCAAATAAAGCTGAACACTTCCCACAAGACAGTGGGAACTTTTTAGTTCTGGCTTTATCTGGCTTATGTTCAGGCCTTTCAAAATGGAAAGGGATTTGACAGAATATAGTTTGCAAATGAACTTGCAAAGAATCATTTGAGAGGAGAGGTCACATTAAGGTTGCTGCTAATATGTGGTGTTATTTATGTGTTACAAATACTAACACAGGATGTATCTACCTAAATAGTCTTTTAACACAGAACTGAAAAAGCAGTCACATTCTCCAGAACCTAAACAAATATTTTCCAGTTAGTAAGTGCTAGTCTGTCCTGAAATCAAATTGTGTAACTAGCGTTTTCCTCTCTGCCCTTCATGACCTGCAGAAACTTCCACCGATGATGGAGCTAATTTGTTTTCAGTTGCTTCAGATGGTGGGACATGAACCAATGGATTCAAATGACAAGCAAAAGTATTTAGAGTAAATATTAGGAAAAACTTCCTGGTGGCACAAGCTGATTGACAGTGGAACAGGCTGCCTCAGAAGGTGGTAGACTCTCCTTTGTTATAGTTGGTCTTTTTTTAAGCAGAGCCTGGATGACCACCTACCAGCAATGCTGTAGTAGTGAGTGTCTTGCATCAGTGGGGGGATTGGATTACATGATCTTTGAGGTCTCTTCCATCTTTGATTATGGTTCTATGAAAGAGAATAGAAAAAAACAACAATCTGACTAAAGAAGCATCTGCACAATAGTTTTGAAGGTTATCCAATGTGCATCAGATACCATGGTCCACAATCACAGAAGACTTCAGCTTGTTCTTGTCTGTACATATCAAAGATAGGAGATTTGGGTGGATCATAGGATAAGGTCAAGAAGTTTGCAAGGCAGCATTCATGCTTATGGAATGAGAAAGAAGCTACCTGCCTCTTCCCAGTCTCAGCTTTCTCCTCTTTCCAAATCACTTTGCAGTGAAATTACTTTGCAGACATGTCCCGAGATACTATTATGTCACACAGCTGCACTGCAACAAGAGGCTCTGAACACAAGCAAGCTCCACCTCATAGAACACACTCTTCTTTGAATTCAGAGCACAGGCTGGCCAGATAGTAGCTGATGTTACCATTTACTTTGTTTGGAAAGAAGGACTTGTATACTTCCAAACTGAACTAGGCTCTGGCCAGAAATCAGAGCCTGAGATATGCTCATACTAATCTACAGGGAAGCCTGGAACTCTTCCTACTGAGGGTTAAGGTCCACATGATGGGCAGGAAATACTGCAGGATTTGACATCATTAATAGCATTGCTCAAATGCAGAGCTTTAATATTACAGAGTACTACTTGTAATTCATTGTGTGCCCAGAGTTAATGATATTACATCCCTCAATGTGATATCATTAACTCTGGGGGAAACTACCTATTTACTTATATTGAAACAACAGTGTTGTCAATGGCAATAGTCCTAATATCCAGCTAGCATAAAAAAGAACTCCTATGAATAGTGGAAATTTCTAAGTAACAAAATGCAATGTTTTAAAAATTCAACAACTTTTGTTATGATATACTCTCCAAATCAGAAAAATATTAGCTTTCTCAAATGCAATCAAGGCAAATCAAAATATGACAGACTATGGTTTGTTCTCAACGTACTGCTTTCAATCTATACTGATTCTAGACCCTACCATCTATAAGGATGGGAGTGGTTATTTGATATGTGTTTGAAAACCCTCTCTTTGATTAGGTTATCCGCATCTTTTCCTCCCTGCATATGCCCCAAGTGAATGAAGTAGGAAGTGGTGATTGTGATCTTGGTAAAAGGCCACCCACAACATCATTAGACATGAGTGTCTCTATCTGTTTTCAAATGGGCACACTGTAGGGTAATACAGAATGAATCTGCAATGAGCTTTTATTTTCTAAATGAAACCAGTTTCTCAATAAGCACATTTCAGTGGAAACATATGCAATAGATCTAGATTGTTTGTGGACTACAAAGGGGAAAAAAGTATTCAGTCTCCATCAGTTCTGGAACAAAATGTTGTGTGTACATAGCCACCGTCTGTGCAATTATCCCTGGATCAACAGAAACTCTAAGCAACAGTTCTTCCATCTTCTCTGGATTCAGATTCAGCTAGCCCATCACTGTGTTCCAGCTCTGCTTTAGGACCTAACCTGCCCACTCCCTCTGATCAAATGGAGAAGAGAGACAGAGACATGTATCATCAACCTCCCAAAGCTCTAACTTCATGCAGCAATTTCATGTACATGTTGAATAGCACGGGGGAGAAGATGGATCACTGTGGGGGTCCACATGCCAATGTTTATGGGAAACAGCATCCCTTTCTGAGACCAACCAGACAAAAAGGACCAGAGCCACTGAAACACAGGACTTCACAGTCCAAAGCAGACAAGATAGCTCAGAAGGATGCCATGGTGAATGGTAACAAAAGCCACCCACATATTCCAGAGAATCAAGAATAACTATATCTCCAATCCGTATCTGTCCATCATTTCCTGTGTCCATCTTATGTCCCTGAGAACATAAATAACTACAAAAGTCACAGACCGAAATTGAAATAAGCTAAGGAAAGGTTTTCAGTTCTATGTCAAGAGACCACTTAGGGTTACTGTGACAAACCTATGACCACAGGTAGAAACAATATGATATTTCTGATTTCTCAAAACATGCTGGTATGCTTCCTGGAAACCCATAGGTGATATCCAATGTCATGTGAGCAGACTTCCCCATTCATTCCTCCATGAAATCCTCGTGCCCTCCAATCTACTCCAGAGGGTCCGCCAACTTTCTGGCAAATATCTGGGAGATGCATAAATAAAAGTCCACTTTATTTGTGGATACAGTTGTGTACTATCCCTTGTTGTCTTTGATCATGGTAGCCAGGTTTACATATTACACAATTTACTTACTCTATTTTAAGGCAGATACATGCTCACATTCCTATCAATAATATCATAGCAAGGACAAGTTGCTATTTAGCGTAACCAGGAATGAAATAAATAAAAGCAATAGACTCCAAATTATATTACTCCAAAGTTTTATAGCTAACACTTTCTGCTGAGCAGAGGGAACTCCCACTTTTGCTCAATGCAAAGTGACTCTAAGATATCACATCAAATGTGCTGCCAGCAGAGCAAAAGTGATATGTATGATTCACTTACTTTGCTCCAGGCATTTAGGCTGAAGGAAGCTGATGCATAATTAAATAATCTTTTTTCCCCTTTTTTTGCTTCCCTCTGTATAGTAACAGCTTTACTTTTACATGGTTTCGTGCTTTGATGTAAAGTATGCAGTTTATCTAGACAGACCACAATTAAACATGTAGGAAATACCTCACATGCTGATATGATGCCACATGTAATGCAGGAAAGAGTATCACAACTACACAAATAGAACCCTGTAACAAATCAATGCAGTACTGAGAACTCCTTTTCAGGATTCTAGTCAGTCACACACTTACATATGGGATACTCCTATCCCTGTCCTCCACTTCTGTTTCCCAACTGATAGTCAACATTCTGTGGCTACTGTTCAAGGTCAGTCCACTCTGAGTTATATTCTGATGGAATTACAAACTTGGTGGATCAGGGAAATGCTGTGGATTTCAGTAAGCCTTTTGATTTCAGTAAGCCTCTTGATTTCAGTAAGCCTCTTGACAATGTCCCCCAGCATATTATTGCGAGGAAGTTAGTAAAATGTGGGTTGAACAAGGTGGCTTTGTAGCTTCGGTGGCTTTGTAGCTGGTTGACTGACCAAACCCAAAAAGTACTCATTAATGGTTCCTCATCAGCCTGGGAAAAAGAACATGGTGATATATTACTGTGCCAAAATACTGGTGGAAGAGACTTGGTACAACCATTCCCTCTGATTAGAAGCTGTCAGTCACAAAAGAGTTATCCAACTCCCGTCCCTCCAGCCTGGCATAAAAGTCACCCCTACTTTCACAGGATGAAAGTGTGTCTGCAAAAAGTTAAGCCTATCTTCACAGTTTTTTAAAGGTCCCTAAAGTCAAATGGTCCCGAACTACTTTGTAGAGCTCTGCTTCAGTTGGGGCACTTCAGAGAGACCCTGCTTTGGCCAAGCCTCAAATCTGTCTAAAATGTCCCACTTCAATTTGGGATTCAGCGCTTGTCTGGGTCTGATGCACACTCCTACTAGAAACTAACCTTCAGCTAGTATTGCTGGTAGGTGGCCAGGTTCATTTATTAACTTGGCGGCCACATTCTAGGACAGTTGCAGTTTTCAATCAGTTTTCAAAGGCAGCTAAAATATAGTGTGCTGTAGTACTCATGTTTCTATAGTAGTTTTATTTTTTTTTTAAAAAAAAGCATTTAAGTGTCATTCTGATAATCAGTGATGTCAAGCTTGTCTGCCAATGCTTGTGATGAGCAAATGTGTTTCACAACTCAACAAACTGTTTGTAGATCACTTGCTGGCAATCTGCAGACAGATGGATGGCAATATACCTGCTGATTCATCAATTAACTGGGCACAGCAAAAACTTTTCTATTCACAATGATCCAGGAGGGCTCTTCTGTTCTTACTCTGTATGAGCTGAAGTATCTTATATTGTAAAGAAAACGCAAATCTATCATCAGAGATTGGTGATGGAGGAATTTAGCAAGTTCTTGCCATTTCTGAGAGGTGCTGAGTTTCATACTGGATCAGGAGCTAAATATAAATAACCGACATGGCAGAGAACAAAGGACAGGTAGGGAGAGGGTATGTACCATTTTGGGTTGCACTTGAAAGTTTTATACAAATATGAGTACGATTAACTCATATTTGATGAAACTGAGCATCGTGGGGCTTCTGAGCAAGTCTGCATGTGACTAAGACTGCAATCCTATACATACTTACCTAGGAGTAAGGCCCACTAAACACAATGGAACTTACTTCTGAGTAAACATGTGCAGGATTGTGCTGCATGTCCCATTCGAAACAATGGGAAAATTTAGTTGGGAAAAACTTAGTTTAAATCTTCTCATTGGATTTTAGAAGTGACTCGTTTTAGTTGGATCAGAACCTCAAAGGGGTTGTGGAGGGAACCATGGTGGTATTTTTCTTATTAAAGGAGCTGTGATGGTTAAACAAAACAAATTAAGTTGCTTATTTTCTGACTAAGAGCATGAGCTGGAAACCGATCCTGCTTCCTGAGCCAGGCAAATAGTAATATGCAAATATTTAATTATGATGATAATCTTATTGTCCTGGGGTAAATTGTGGGGGAGGATGGGAATAACTAGAAATTTGATGCAATAGATATTTGAGTGGATTTGATAACGAAAACAAAGCATCTACAGGTATTCGCCTGCACAGCAAGTGAAAATCTACCTTTTCTAGAAGTATGGGCCAGATTTCAAACATTTTATTGTCAAACATAAATACAGCATTAATTTCATTCCTCTTTGAGTGGTTTTCCTTTTTAACCATTCATAATATCTATAGTGAAATGCCCTTTTGGGGTTCTTCACAATTGCCACCCTGTTGCTGATACACCTTTTCTGGGGAAAGGTATCATAGAGGGTGGTCAGGGCATAGCTGCAGGCACTCTTGGATGAGACTGATTTTCTAGATTCATTTTAATCTGAATTCAGGCCTGTACAGGGAGAGAGATGGGGGGGGGGTGACCCTGTTGATTTCTCAGTGACCTTTGATACCATTGACCACAGTATTCT